AAATGATGGTTTCATTGACTAAAATGATCTCACAGCAGAGTACAGGGTAGACTTCAAGTCACCGTGTCAAACTGCTGAGTAACAGAGAGAAGAGCTCTACGAAGACTCCAGCAGACCCAGACTTGCAAAGGAGTTCAGGTAATTCAGCAGCCTCCCTTCCTGGTGTATACAGTTTTTCCCTCTTACAATATCAACAACTTTTTCAGTGACAAGGTAGAGGGAGACCCTTCCCAAAAAATTAACTAGGGGTAAGATGAGGTGTGAGAAAAAGAAAGGTCATCAAATGGCAGGCAGAAAGAGTTGAGAGACAAGAGATTTAAGAGACAAAGGAAGATCTCTTCTTCAGAGATCAAAGGAGGGCTAAGTAAAGGTTGCTGCTCCATACCCTGGGGTAGGCCCCCCATTGTCCAGGTTGAAAACTTGTTTGGGGTTGAGCAGGTAGTGGAATTTCCGAAGAATTCTATGAAAAAAAAAAGAAAAGACAAAGAACAAGCAAACAAAGTGTCAGAGAAGGAAAATAATATCATTGTGAGAAATTACACCAGGACAAATTCGTTTGGACCCATGAGTGGTGGGATTGGGCAGCTAGTTTAAGAGGTAAATGTTACACACAGATACTGATATTTCAAGTGCACCTGGCATCTCTACATTCTTACCTCTGACCCAAGGATGCCCTTGGATGATCTGACTCCAGCCCTACCCCAGTTACACCATCTATTGCAGAGGACAGGGCAGGGAAGCCCAGAGAACAGGCCTGTCTGTCTATAGCAAGAACATTCTTAGCGACCTCTTGATATTCTGTGTAGTATGGACAGTGTGAGTTGGCCTTTGTGGACTGACCAGAGGTATGGAAGGCCCCCTAGGGAGAGGGCCCAACATCCCATAAGACCTCAGGTAGGAGGAGGTGGGCCCCAGAATGTCCAAAGCCAGTGATTACATCTGGGCTTGGATTCTGGGCTCCAATTTGGGATGGCTGTGTCAGGGCAGGAGGTTTTCCTGCCCCTTGGACTCGGGTGGGGCCTCATAGTTCTTGCTTGAGCATTGTCTATTATTTGTCTAAATCTGGATTCCTCATCTTTGTACCATCTGTTCATGACCCCAGACGAAGCAGGCCTGGGAAGCAGAGCTGCTCTACCTCCCCTCTCTGCTGAGCTGACTCCAGCTTCCAGCAAATCAGGCACTTCCTTCACTGCTGAGGTGGGTGCCCTGCCTTCTTGGGGTTGGCCAGGAGATCCTAATAAGGTATGTCCCCTTATGTCTTTTAATCTAAGAAAAGACTTTGGGGGCTAGGAAGGAGCAGACATCTCAGACTAGACTCTGAAAGTCTTCACTGGGGCTCAGGTAGTAGGTCTTAGGCAAGGCACCAGGTCTATTCTAATCCTCAGGGTCACCCTATAAGAAGTCATATTGTTATCTCAAGTATAGAGTGTTAAGTCACCTGGACCAGGAGATGGCAAGTGGTGGTGCTGGGCCATGAGCCTGGGTTACCCTGTCCGCACAGTCTAGTCTTTTGGGGTCAACGGGAGGAAGGGATCTGTGTCACCTTAGCCTTTCCACTTGAAAAAAAAGAACATACCTTTCTCCTTGTCTCCCTCCACTCTTGGGGTTCACCAAGACCAGCAGGGGATGAGTTCCGGGGTTGGGGATGATCTTATACTTAAAATGGAAGAGAAAAAGAAATTAGCTTTGTTTTGTTCCACAGGGAATCGAGACAAAAGCTGATGCCGAGACAGCTTCGGAAGGGTGGATGGGAGCAGGCCCAGGCATGGAGGAGAGATGTGGGGCAGATCTTTGTCTGCTGGCTGAGTTTTTTGAGGGGGAAAGCAGCTAAGTGGTTTCAGCTTGAGAGACTGTTAAGGAGTGTTAATGGCAATGAGGGTTGGAGGTTGGGATCGGAGATGGGGCAATGACACAATGGCTTCATTCAACAATGGTGCGGCATTGTGCCCACATCACAAGATCAAATTTTGTGAGGGACACTGCTAAATAGAATCTTAGAGGGTATGGCCACCTGGTCATACATATCAGTAAAATAATGCTCATGAGCGATTAGTCCCCCTGGCACCTTCCAGATCCACATTTCCAGGCCCAATTTTCCTCCTAAATTCACATTTCTCACCATCCAGTAGGTGTTTCAACTTGAGCTCTCACCACTGTTGCCACATCAACATGCCCCAACGGACTCATCTTTACTTCCCATAAGACTGTTCTTCTCTCCTGGTTTCCTGTTCTTGTTAAGGGTATGGTTATTTAGCTGGGTATCCAGGGAAGATTCTGGCCTGCCTGTCCTTCCTGGAGTGGCCCTTTATTTCCAGCAGTCACCACCATCCATGGGCTGGTGAGGCCACTCCCTGGGGAGTCATGTCAAGCATGCCACCCTGCTCACAGTTCTCAGGATCAAATCTAGTCTCTGTTCCTGTTCCTTTGCTATTGCCTCTCACCCCTCAGTGGGAGGTCCAGCAAAGCCTGCTGGTACCATGAGGTGACTGTGTCTCCCCAGTGCTGTCCTGTGCATCTGCTCACACTGTTTTTGCTTTTCCTTCTTGTCCCATGGTCTGAAATACTTTCTTCTCTGTAATCTCCTAAAGAAATCCAGAACAACTCAGAGCCCGATTCCAGAGCCATCTCCTCTATGAAGTGTCTCTTGATCACTGCAACTAAAACCACTGTACTTGAAATGCATAGTATCTTCTGGAGGTTTTTTTCTTTGTTTGTTGGTATTTATTTTTGTCTTTCATTTTCTAGGTAAAATCTTAAAGCATCAAGTAGATTTTAAATGAGCAGGAACAGAGTAGAACTGTATATAACCCTTCCTCCACAGGTCTTTTCATGTCACACACAGGAGTGGATTTTTGTGGATCCAGTTGAATGATAGTCTCACACAGAGATACAGATGGGCTCCATATTCAATAGTTAATGCAGCATCTGGTTGCAAACTACACATCCATCTATCACAACACAATGTGTTTGCAGAGAACAGTAGCATTGTTTGTGAATTCTTAAAAAACAATTCCCTCAACTTCCCAGGAGCCAAAGGGGTAAGCCCGAAGTCTGGGGTGATATTCAAAGCACCTCACAGCCCATATGGCACTGGGTCTTGCTCAGTGAGACTGATGTAGATCAGGGGCAATGTCCTTGTCTCTCCTCTCTGTCTCTGTCTCTCTGTCTCTTTCTCGCTCTCTCCCACCTGACTTTCTGCCCTTCCTCTAGGTGCCTAGAGCCTCTCTAGATGTCTAGAACCTTCTCTTAGTGTGTACAACCTTCTCTTCTGTCTAAAGCCTTCCCTTTGGGATGTCTAGAGCATTCTCATCTATTCTCGGTCCCCATATCTTATGTCTCAATTTTTTGAACACATGATCAGCATGCTCCCAGTCTTGTAGAGCTGTGGGAGGTGGACAGTGCAGGGCATGCTATGCCCATGATTGAACAAGGAAATGTAGGCTCTGAGACAAAGGATGAGGCCCTCCCCTTCTGTTTCCTATTCTAGTATTCTCTGTATCTCAGCAGGCCACCCTCTCTGCATCCTCAGAACTTCCTAGAAGATGTAAAGAAAAAATATTCATTGGTGAAACTTAGTTAAAAAGGTCTTAAAAATACACTTAAAGATTAAGGCCTTTTGGATCTGGTTAGCTTTGTTTTGGCAGATTACATTCTGGAGACAGCTTGGCAGTCTTGGAAAACCCATTGTCCAATTTTGTGCCACACTTTTGTTATTGTTTAGGAGGTCTGCATATTGAAATTTTATGTAACTTGCTCTTAAAGAGGTGGTAAAGCCAATTAGATCAGCAATGGAATCAGCCAATCTCCTTTCTCAGCACTTGCCTACAGTGTGGCAGTCAAAGGTAATTCCAGAGGCCGGGAGTAAAGTGTCCTCCTGTGTGACAGAATTGATGGGATGAGAGAACAAATGTTGAGATACACTCCTTTACACGCCAAGCCCCATTTCCCCCACCATAGCCTTGGACCCACTTAGAATGAGTGGTTGGATTTCAGGCTTATGAGGTACCTGCATTACAAGTTCACCCATGGTTGCCACGCTGCCATCAGACTTCCCACCTTGCCTGTCCTGTGAGAAGAGAAAAACAAGCATCTTTTGAGAGGGTGAAAAAAAAGAACCTACTATAACAGACAAGATCACATTAAAACATTAACTCAAATGGCTAATATTGACAGAGAGTAGAAAGTCAGTAAACTGTGAGGGCGTTTTCAAAGTGGGCTTTGACTCTCAAAAAGGAGTATAGCCCACAAGTCTCTCTAGGCTTCTCTAGGCCCCTGTCATCTCTTGATTTTAACTTGAAACTTGGCAGGGCTGGTAGGGCCTGAAATCAGCCAAAATTCGGTTTGTTGATTGAGGAGCTTTTCTGCTGTAAGGACTCAGCACAGTCATTGTTCTCGGTTTTGCTTGTTCTGCTTTGTTTCATTGTATATTGTTTACTGAGGTTTATCAAGCCATAGTACAGTTTGATAAGCTTTTGTATATGTATACACTTCCATGGAACTACTGCCTTTTCAAGCTATTAGCTTTGCCTTGCCTTTAAATTTTATACAAATAGAGCAACAAAGCATGCCATCGAGTCTAATATATATATATTAGAATATATAAATATAGTCTTTTTGGGACAGGATCTCCCTGTATCTGCCTTCCTTTTCCTCTGGAGTGCTGGGATTAAAGGTGTGCCCCACCACACCTGGCTTATTAGCATTATTTTATTTTATTTTATTTTTGGTCTTTTCGAGACAGCGTCTCCCTGTAGCCCCAGCTGACCTGGAACTCGACATGTAGACCAGGCTGGCCTCAAACTCACAGAGATCCACCTGCATCTGCCTCCCAAGTGCTGGGATTAAAGGTGTGCGCCACCACACCAGGCTAGCATTATATTTTTAAAAGTCCCTGTTTGTCTTTCCCATTATACTGTGGTATTTCAACACATGGCTGCAATATGCTCGTGTGTCTCAGTTTATTTATCTGTGCTTTTATTTATGGTCACTTAGCTTGCATTCCACTTCCGATTGTTATAAAGTTGTTGTGAATACTCTTGTACATGTCTTTGGATGGAATAAATGTCTGCGTTTCTAGGGGTGATGAAGTTTGTATAGTTCCAACTTAATGAAAACTGACAAATGGATTTCTAAAGTGGTGGTTTTCTTAAAGGATTTTTTAATGAGAAAAGGGTGTTTGGTCAAGTCAAGGGTGAGAGGGAAGGAATCTAGGAGTGGAGCATTTGAAAGATGAGAGGGCTAGTCTTTAGTACAGGAGGCAGAGTTTCAAGTGGGAGTAAAGGGGTTTAAGTCATCTTTTTTTTTGCTTCCAAATATAACTGAGACACCCTGGTGGAAGCCCTTGGGCAGAAGAGATTAAACACAGGAGTTTAAACACAGGAGAGGGGCTGGAAGCCTGGCAACAGGCAGGTGGTCCCCTGAGCTGTGCTCTGCCTCAAGGTGCTTCAAATGAATGTGCTTCCTTGAGGCACCACTGGGGAGCAGCAGTTGGAACCGAATATCTCAGAGGCGTTGTCTTTCTCCATCCAGCTCGCACTATTCTTTCAAACACACACTGAACCACAAACTCTGTTAGGGAAGTGCTCTGAGGAGTGTGAGGGTCTGAATGCTGCCTACCACTGACCAGAAACAGGTGGGGTTGGGGTGCGGGGGTGGGGTAGGGAATGGAGGAGCAGGAGCACTTACTCTGGTAATAGGGCATATGGAGGTAGGCAGCAAAATATGGTCTTTGAGTTCCCCACCATCACACAGTGTCGATAATTCACATTTGCGGTGAAACTGGAGGGAAAAATGTAGATGAGAGTGAGAAGTGACCAGAGAGACATCAGGTAGGTGGGTGCAGAGGTTTGGTAGAGGGAACAAGCTGGCTAGCATCCCTGCATCTTGGTGCCTGCTGGCTTTACCTTTGACAGTATTCTTGAGTATATGTGAATGTGTACCATGTCTGCCAGGGGCAGAGAAAGGAGACCAAGAGCTGCCTGATTGGCTTCTACAGCTCCCCTCACCCAGGCCTGCTGAATTTCTGGTTTAGAGATGGAAGGAAGACTGTCTCAGTACATACAGGTTTGGGAGGGTTCAGTCACAATAGATCCCCTGTATTTTGAGGGTCCTGAATCTGGTTTGAAGATGCCTCCTCTTTATGGCTGATACTTAGCTGGGGAAGCAAGACATGGCCCACTTGGCTTTGGTAGGCAGACTGGGCTGGCCAGTGGCACCTCTACCATTCAGAGGGCAGTGGACTCCGACGTGAGCATGGCAGCAGCAGGCCCAGGCTTCTTGGCCACACAGGGTGCTGCTTAAAGGCAAATGTCCTCCAGCCAGGTGCTACTCCTCTGAGGTGTTAAAAGAGTCGGCATTGCAGGACCTAATTCCTGTCCAGTCTATCAGCCCTCCCCAGTTGAGCCCCAAGTGAAGGAAGTTGATGGTTTAGCCAAATGCCTGGCCAGGTAGGCAGTCGGCTAGTCAGCTTCTTCTTAAGCAGCCTTCTCTCTAGGCAGTTTGAGGATTCATCCCTGCACTCTTAGGCGGGGAATTTCCAGTTGGGCTCTGGGGCCCTCCTAGCCTCGATCCCCTGGATTAGCACTTGCCCTGTAGAGGGATGTTCACTGTTCCCAGGCTACAGCAAAACCCACACTGAAAAGAAGAATGGCCTCCCTGGGCACCGACCCACCGTCATCCGGCACCACACGCAGTGCCGCGCGGTGACACTCTGGTAGCACTTGATACTTTTATGGCACCGGTCACACTTGACGGAGGAGTTCCCTTCCACCCACGCGTGCTGCATCACCTGCGGGAGGGAAGGGAAGGATACCAGGGAAGGCAGTGGAACCACACCCGTGGACCTAGGGCTGCACAAAGGTCTGGAGGGACAGGAAGGCCAGAAGGCCCTGTTTTCTCAGTAGTGAAAGCTTATTAGATGTCCCTTGCTGCCTAATCATCAGAATGCTAAGCAAGGTGGATTCAAAACCATTTTGTCTGAAGTACACTTTCACCCTGGCAGGCAAGCATCTAAACAGCATCTCACCTGGCCATCCATCTGCCTTGCAGAATTATTCACAGGGACCCTTTTCTGGGGAAGCAGTGTGGCACAGGGGAACCTGGGGGCTGAGGCACACATCAAACTGATTGGAGTTGCTGATCTTACATTTCACAGCACAGTGACTTTTGGCTACTTTCTGGACCTTTCTGAGTCTCAGGTCCCTCACCTTTAGACACTAGCACAGGCATCTCTGGGGTTTGGGAAAGATGCAATAAAACATCACATTTGGAAGAGCCTCCTGAAGCAGCTCCCACACTCTGGCTAGCTCGCTTCCTGCTCCTCAGCTTTAGCTGTCCATTACAGTCATCTCTAGAAGTCCTAATCCCCACCCCACACTTGACCTAAAGTGCTGGGTGGTTATGATACACAGCAAAGGTTGAGATGTAATCTAGAAGGAAGCTAGGTTTAAAAAGTCCAAAATACTGAGTGAGGATGCCATAGTCTCTTTCACACCCATTTCCTGAAGATCTGGATGCAACTACTGCCTGGCCAGGAAAACCCACCAGGGCAGATAGGAAGGTTTGCATGCATAACTCCAGCAAAAATGGCAACGACCGAGCCACTGCCTGGAAGCCTCTGGAAGCCTCTGCTCTTAGTTTTCTCCCCATGGAATTCACAGAGTTCAGAACTTTCTACCAAAGTACCTTGAACTATAGATGTAGACTCTGGAGAAAAATGGGGCATGCCTTGGAGTGCTCCAATTCAATCACTCTGTTAAAAGTGTGAAATATTTGCATGAAACTATCCATATTTGCATTAAATAAGAGTAAATGTTTAAAATTACTTAGCAATGAAGTTGTGCAACATCTCTCACCCCAGAGTATTTTTGCTAAAACTTACTGCTCTAAAAGACATGTCACATTTGCAGCTTCTCACCTTCCAAGGGTGCCACAAAGTCATTCTGTCAATTTGTCATCTACATGGTCATATTCAATATGCTATGAGATTATTATTTCCATTTTGCAGAGGGAGAAAGTTGAGGTTTTAGAGTTAAGTGGCTGGCCTCAGGTTCCAAGACTGGTAAATAGTCACATAGGGACCCACACAGGTCTCTTAATTCCAAGTCTAGGGTAGTTACCCCAACACCTTCTTTATCCTGTCTGGGGACTGAAGAAGTGTTGAGAGACAGGCTGTCCCTGCAGGCTCAGATGGCTGTGAATGTGCTCTGCTGGTTTCTCAGCAGTGTCACCCTGCTCTCTGTGTCAGGTGACCAGAGTGTAGGCAAGGGCATGAGCACAGGAGGCCCACTGTGTGTTCTGGTGGAAGGCAGGCATGGGCATGGAGGGGAATGTGGGAAGAGGAGACAAGAGGCCCATGCAGTGGCTATGGGGCATGCATGTGAGGAGTTGCAGAGGAGCCTTTCTCTTGGGAGGCCTTCTGTGGGAGGGCTGGGTGCCACTCCCACCTTCTAGCCATCTCCTGACTCAGGCTCCTCTGTTAGCTCTCCCCTCCGCAGTAACACGGAGCGCTCGTCCCCTGATTTCAAGGGTCATCTACTTCTAGACTCAGAAACAGCATCACCCAGTGGCCAAATTAGAAACTTGGGAGCTACCTCCTACCTCTGGCTCTCCTGTTCTCTGCATCCACAGCACCAAGCCCTGGAGCTGGCACCTCCCAAATGCCTTTCAAACTCTCCCTTCCTACCTTTGTCTTCTCTACCTTTGTTAGTAAAAATGCCCAGTGACTCATGGCCCCCCGGACACTCAGAAACAACCACTGTCCTGCAAGGTGGAAGCAGACCCAATCTGCTCTGCCCCAGAGTAGCATTGCCTTTTGCTGCGATTGCTGGAAAAATTTTCCTTCCTCTGATTTCTCTCCTATACCAACCTCAGAAAGATTCCCCTCAAGCATCACTTCATGTGTGAAGCATCATTTCATTGACCCTTGGCTGCTTTCTAATTCATGAGCTGGTCTCCCAACCTCCTTTCTAGGTGAGATTTCACTACCTTCTGAGCTCCTGCCCTCACCCTATAGTCATTTTCTGACCCAGCTATACCAAACCAAGTCCAGGCCCTAGAGTAAGACATGCTTCCATGCCTGTATACATGAGACCCATTCTACCTGGAGTGCTTTGTCCTCTTTCAAGCCTCATGAAGCCCCCTGGTATGGTTCAAGACATAAACCAAATGTTGCCTCTTTTGTGATCTTTTCTCTTTCAGGCCTCAACAGCACCGTCTACGTGGCCCTGTTATGATAGCACACACCTCAGTCCTTTACCATGTGCTTCAAAGCCTGTTCCTTCCCCTAGCCTGCACAATATTTGAACAAGCTGGGTGCCACCTCTCATAACCTGGGGATGCCCTAGCATAGTGCTTGGCACACAGTGGACAACAGGGAGATGCTGAATGGATTGATGGATGAGTGGGATGGCTTAAGGGTGGTCTCGAGGCAGAGAAGGGACTGGAGAAAGCTCCCAAAGCCCCTTCCTGCCTAGGAGTCCATGGTGATGGACATGCTGTCCCTGAGGTAACAGTAGAATGAGGCAGTAGGTGTCACCAACCTCGCCACTCCTTTTGGCTTTTGAGTATGTTTTAACACATCCAGGAATGCTTTTGGATACACAGCGTTCATGGACAGTGTATTTGCAGTCTGGAAAAAACAAAACAAAAAAATCAGTGCATGTAAGTCACCACCAAGTAAATATCCAGTACCTCCTTCTCCCCACACACATACTTCAGCCAAGGCTTGTATCTTCTGGGTGTCCAGTGAAGAAAAAGGATACATGGAGCTGGCTGGCCTAATAGAAATCTAACATTCTCCTTTTGTTCTTTGAGCAGATCCTCAGGACTCTCCTACTTCTGTGTCTGTACCTCCACCTGCACCTCCACCTAACCTTCTCTGAGGGCAGTGGCCACAGCAGGAAAACACCTCAGAAGGTAGTGTGAGGTAGCATCCTATCATCTGTACCAGATGCCTCAACCTGGCATGTCAGATGCTGGTGGGTGGACCGAAAGGCCGAGGTTGCTGGGCGAATGCATGCTACTTGCACCAATCTACATTATCTTGGGTAAGTTACTTTACCTTTCAGAACTTCAGGATTTGTCAAATGTGTTCACAGCAGTTTGTCTTTGTGGAGTCGGGGTTTTGCAGTGTTAAGTGAGACATTTGTGGGAAGTACCACTTGGTCAGATTAGCTATTGTACAATTTGTGGATACTGTGATTATGCAAACAAACAGCAGAGGACCACAGGTCTTGAATTGAACAGGAATGAGAGCATGTTGATGGAAAGGCAACTGAGAGTGGATTTGAGTGGCTCTGGACAGACTGGTATTTGCTATTTGGCCATGAACTTATTGGCAGGGCTCGGTGTACCCACATTCTTCGGCCCTGTGAAGCCTCTGGCTTTGGCTCTTCTCTCCCCCCTGCTCCCCCTTTTCCCTTCTTTCCAGAATCACCCTTTCCCCTCCCTTGCCCTCTATTTCTTCCTTGGGCTACCTTCCCAGTCCCTATCTAACTTCCTTATTCATGACATTTTTCTGTTTTGCCCTCCAGTTTTATTAAATAGATTACAAAATGAAGCAAATATGTAATTTTAATTTTCATTGCACTTCCAGAATATGGAATATGATCCTTAATTTAAAAAATTCCTCTGAACACGCATGAAATAATCATTGGCTAGAAAACCTACTTGTAATTAACATGAGATACTTTTTAGTTGAACTTGAATGGTGTTTTTCCAGAAAGTCAGTGGCCCACGATTCCAACAGTAGCACAAAGCTTACCTGTTTGATTTAGGTGGACTCAAAACAGGCACCGAGGCCCTGCCATTAGACCCATAGGAGCCATCCTCCATGGGGAAGCAGAAATCCCTAGACCATCCCCGAAGGGGATGTTCAAAGCAAACAGAGCCTGGTGGGGAGGCTTGAAGGAAGTTTACTCACAAGTGCAGCATAGGCCTTGCTTTCGAACACCCATCAGCATGAGATGGCAGAAGTTGCAGTAGGTGGGCTTCTTGAAATGCTTCAGGGTCCAGGCATGCCTCCCGTCCCCCTGGGAACCCTGCAGAGGTGACAGGAGGTGAGCTGTTGAGGTGCTACCCTAGCTCAACAAATCCCAAGGCTGGTTCTAAATAAGAAGGTAAGTAACTCACATCAAAATATTCTTTTTTTTTTTCTGAGACGGGGTCTCCCTGTAGCTCAGCTGGCCCTGAACTTGCTATGTAGACTGGGCTGGCTTCCATCTCAGAAAGATCTGCCTGCCTCTGCCTCCCAAGTACTAGGATTAAAGGTGTGTATCACTGGGCCCAGGACACATCAATACATTCTTAATGTGTGCTTCAGAGGACACTATGCAAGCTGCTAAGGGAGAAAATCAATCAGTGGTCCAACCTTAGCTGTAAAGCCTAATAACCACAACAATGACTGGCACAGCAAACTAACTCTATTGGTTCAGTAGTGGCACTTTTATCTTGGGGACAATCAACAGCTATCTAATGGGCCTTAACTCATTCAATGGGTCATATAAACATGGTTGGAGAGATCATACATAGATCCTAGAGAAAACCTACATCTGTCACATCCCTAGACAAGTACACCTATTAACTCTCATCAAAGAAGCTTCTTTTTTAAAATTAAAAAATACTTTATTTATTATTTTTTATGTGTATAAGTGTATTGTTTGCATGTGTATAAGTACACCTGTATCATGCATTGCCCATGGAGCCAGAAGAAGGCATCGGATCCCCTGGAACTGGAGTTACAGATAGCTGTTAGCCGCCATGTAGGTGCTGGGAATTGAACCTGGGTCTTCTGCAAGAGCAGTCAGTGCTCTTAACTATTGAGCCATCTCTCCAGTGCCATCAAAGAGGCTTCTTATGGCAACATGTGAAGACTATTGCAGAGTTCCACAACCAGTCAAACACAGAGAAAACGTGTCTATGAGGTGCCTAGCCCTAAGTGACACATCTACGACAGAATCTCTATACCTAAACTAATGAACAGTGTGATATAGCTTGACAGAGAGAATGTTAATGCATCTTTCAACTCTTACCAGCAAAGCTTCCTCATGCAACAGATGGTGACTAACTCAGAAAGTTACAACTGGTCAAAATATAGAGAATAAAATAGACCTTAATCAGACTTCTTGTAGGTTATTCCCTTTAAACATCAGTTTAATATTGGCATTACCTCTAACTAGAATTTCAAGTCTGTGTCAGTAATAGTGTAATTCTATTTCACCCTATCCTCTCTCCTTTTTTATATATGTATTTTAAGCAGAAAATACAGTAAAATCTCAAAAAAAAACCCAAAACCCAAAAAACTATAGAGTGTGAGTCTCCGGCTAGAACGCCTGTATTATACCTCAGCCGCCCAGGGCTCAGGGATCATTTTGGAAGAGGGGGCCAAAAGATTGTAAAAGTCTGGGGTGGCGAGTGACCACAAGGAAACAGAGTTATTTAAAAAAAATTATTTATTTATTTTTATTTTATGTGTATGAGTGTTATGCCTGCATGTGTGTAACTGCACCCCCAGAGGACAGAAGAAGGTGTTGGATCCCCTGGAATTGGAGTTACCGAAGGTTATTAGCCACCATGTGGGTGGCTGGGACTTGAACCTGGGTCTTCTGTAAGAACAGCCAGTGCTCTTTACCACTGAGTCATTTCTCCAGCCCCAGAAACAGAGTTTTCCAGGCTCTTGGGAACTTGCTCATATGAACTCACGGCAATGGTGACATCATGCACAAGGCCCATGCAAATCCAAACCAGACAAAAACCCAGCATAGAGCTGGGGAGATAGGAAAGACGCCCCAAGCTTAGCTGAGGAACTATTGACAGCCGATCATTTCTGGGTGAGGGAGAGTTCCAGGCCAGCTGTGGCTGTAGGGAGACCCTGTCTCAAAAAACCAAAAACCAAAAACAGACCTCCTCCAAAACCCAAACAAAACAAAAACTAGATGAGCATTTCTGTGCCAGTCTAATGTCTAACCCAACATTATTTAAAATAACAAAGAGTGCCGGGTATGGTGGCACACGCCTGTAGTCCCAGCACTTGGGAGGCAGAGGCAGGCACGGATCTCTGTGAGTTCAAGGCCAGCCTGGTCTACATAGTGAGATCCAGGACAGCTGGGGCTACAGGGAGACCCTGCTTCAAAAAGACCAAAACAAAACAAAAAATCCGAAGAGCTGGAAATGTTCTAAAGGTCTCTAAATTACTAAAATTGTAGTACATTCATATGACTTCATGCTAGGTGGTAATCAAAGAGATATCTATATATTTAAAAGCAGCCAGTGTTCTTAACTGCTGAGCCATCTCTCCAGCCCCTGATAATAATATCTTTAATGGGAAGAAATATCCTGAACCTGTCAACCAAGGTTAGTTATAATCGGCAATACTATGTATTTATTTTATTCTCTAATTTCTTTCTTTTGCAGTTTTTGAATTTTGTCTGGTGAGCATATACAAACATTATAATCAGGAAACAGCATCTTAGTAAAAATAATGAACTTCCTGCACCACCTTTTTACACACAGATAAAATGCTAGAGTGAGGGCTGGCAAGACGGCTCAACGGGTAAAGGCACTCGCCCCTAAGCCTGTGGACCCGAGCTCAATATGGTGGAGCAAAAGAGTGACTTTTGAAGGCTGTCCTCTGACCTCCTTACACAATCATATGTTCCTTGGCATGCCAAGTCTGCCGTGCTCTAGCCCCTGTGTACACAGCCTGGCTTGAGCCTGACTTTGGGACATCCCTCCTGCCATCTTTCCCTCAGGTTCCATCATCAGTAGCACTGGGGCTGGGATGAAGGGCAGTACAAACCATGGTAACTAAGGTTGTACTTGGATTGGAGGTCAGGGACATGGAATCCAATGTACTGGACACAAGTCTGGTCCTTATGTCTAGTTACCTACGTCTTGTTACTGGTCACTGTGGCCAGGCCTGCTCCTAGGCCTAGACTTCTGATGATGGTCCTTGGAGCCCACGCCCTTTGTCAAATACTTTCTCTTCCTCTAAGTCAGACAAAGCTTTTGTCGACATCACTTTAAAACCCTCTTCCAAGACCTAAGTTGTATAGAATTGAGGTCCGTTTGTTTGAGGGTTTCTGCCTCAGCATATAGATTTACACGTGGATAACAACTTGTTAAAAGACTGATTCATTCATTTCCAGATACTTGCCTCAAGGATTTATTATAAGAATTAAATGAAGTAATGTAATTACAGCTTCCCGCCCACTGCTAGATACTCTATACTGGATACTGAGGGATACAAAAATAATGGAAGAGCAACAGGGTTTATTACTAGTGTGCAGATAAGACAGAGGCTTAGGGAAGTTATATAACCAGACCAATGCCACAGGGAGAGTAACTGACAGAGCCAGTAGTCAAACTGGGAGCTCTTGGTAGCCTGAGAGCCAGCGCTCCTTCCAGCTCCACCCCCTCAACAAGCCGGGATTCTCCTTCAGGGACGGAAGGAACATCGGAACCTTTTTAAGCAATCATACTTTCCACAGACTAAAGGACTGTCATTTTACCTGAAAACAGCTCTATCGCTAAGTCATTGAGCTGACGACTCCCACTTTCTCAAGAAGCAAATGGGCCGCAGGCCTACAGCAACTGCTTGCGCTATAGCACCATCGTGTGGCTAGTTCATTTTTGCCCATAGACCGTGCAGGTGGAGCAACCAACCTTCTTCTGCAGGCCAGATTTATGCCACTGCTACAGTTTCACCAGGAGACAGGCTCTTGCAAATGTCCTATTCAGACAGCCCCAGTCTTCTCAGTGGCCCTGTGTGTGCTTTATAAAGCTAAACAAGTAACAGGACACTCAAGAGATTCGTTGGGTTTTTCTCTAGAGCCCCAGATATCACATGTTAAAAACTTAGCACATAATGCATATATTTTTTGACTAAGAGCAACTAATTTTACATCTAATTTTTGCTTTTTTCTTTTTTATGTAAATTCTAGTTTTCTGAAAGGCTGATTTGGAATTAGGGGTGGCACTGGGGAAGAATGTTTAAGAAATAGTCAGGCTTTCCATGTTGCTTCCAGAAACAGTGGGCTCTTTGCATACAGAGTTGGTGGCACTTTGAACCTTAGCAAGTTCAGCATTGGAAAGAAAACAGAAGTTAATTCCTTGTGCTTAAAATGTCCTATTTCTTGGCCGGGCATTGTGGTGCACGCCTTTAATCCCAGCATCTGGGCGGCAGAGGCAGGTGGATCTCAATGAGTTCAAGGCCAGCCTGGTCTACATAGTGAGTTCCAGGACAGCTGGGGCTACAGGGAGACCCTGTCTCAAAAAAAAAAAAAAAAGTCCTATTTCTTTTCCCAGCAAATGAGAAAAAACAAAGCAACCACAGTGTGTTTGAAAAGCAGGTAAGCAGTTTCCATTTTGATCATCCGTCTTGATCCAGTATTGAGTGAGGGTTGACGGCAGTCTACTTTGCTTATCTGAACTCATGTGGAATTCTTGTATGTACAGCCTCTTGGCAGGGGATCACTGAATGCAGGTCCTGATGTGACTGAGTGTAGTGGATGGGCCTCAGGTTGTAGAATGAAAGGATAGACTAAGGACCAAAAAGGACTTTCCGGTTCTGACTTTCTAGCGTTCTAAGGGATATTAAGTACCATATAGATCCTGGCTCCCTAATTTCTACTTAGCATTTGGAACAACTGAGCATGCTATGAGATGATGGCAATTCCCGAGCCCTGGAAATAAAGGCTAGCTTCTGTTGTGAGTCACAGAACTGTGAAACGGAAATACGGCCAAGGCAGTCGGGCTGCTTTATTTCCTGTCCAGTTCCCCTGACATTTCAGACATTTCAGAAATCTCAAAGCAGTATTGCCCTAGTAAATGACGCACCATCTGTGCTTCTATTAGTTCTAGTCTTCCTAACTTGTCTTGTGGGAATTGGCTTACTCAATAAACAGCCAGAAAAGTCAGTAATTGACTGTGTTAGATGCAGGCTTTCACATTGAGACTTTACACGTAACCCATGATATCCAACTGGGATATTTTCCTGGACTTTCCTTCATTTAGATCTTTGATAAAATTGATTTCCTTGCTATAAGCTTTTTTTTGTGTCATTTCCACTAGCCAAGTCATGTACAACCTTGAGAGCTAGAATGTGTTATCGAGCCAGGTCTGATGGTACAGGTCTGTAATCCGAGCTACCATGGAGGCTGAATCAGGAGGACTGCAAGTGTGAGCAAAGCCTGCCTGGGCTATAGATTGAGTTTACGCCGGTCTGGGTACTTAGTGAGACTCTGTCTCAAAAAATAAAAAGTAAAAATAGAGATGGAGGATGGAGATAAAGTTCAGTGGTAGAGTGCTTGCCTAGACTGTGTGAGCCCTTGGTTCAATCTCCAGTAACAGACACAGACAGACAGATACACACACACACACACACACACACACACACA